CGCGCGCCGTCCTTATCACGATCGGCACGCACGATAACGAAAATTGTCGCTCGCTCGCTCCGTTCGTGCGGGCGTGCGCGCCCGCGCGCGCAACGCGGGACGTGAGTGCTCGCGCGAAACGCGGAGAGATATATCCTTACGGAAGCGCCATTACGCAATTTAAAGGGTACGGGGATGAATAAAGCTCCCATTTGCCGGGAGAGATCGAGCGGATTTAATCGCCGGCGCTCGCGCGAGCGCCGGCGACGGGAAACGCCGGAAAGCCGCCGGCGATTTTCAGCATTAGCCTTTCCCCGCGAGATCCTTTACAAGTAAGTTCGTTAGTAAAAACCGGAGACAAAAATCTCATTATAGAATCGGAAGAAAGATGTGAACTTAAGGCGCACTCACCTCCTCGTGCTCTTTGTGGAATCGCTCTTTCTTTCGCAGCGCCTCTTGAACTTTCAGCTGAAAAATGCAAGGGGGTGGAAGCGTTCTTAAGTTTCGTTTAAAAAGGTTTTATCGGCGGTAAAGCGACTTTCTCGCGAGTGACTTCGAGCATTCCGACTGAATTCAAGGATCGCGATAGACTGCATAAAACCAAGTGGCTTTCACTCGCGAGAATTCTAATGTCACTAATGAAAATTATTACTCATCTGTTTTTACTTCGCAATGAAAAATATTTTCAAAATTATCTTCAAGAAGTAACGAGTGAGATGTACATATATAAAACTAAAATATAAATGTTAATAATAGTTTTAATTAAATCGTTACTGTACTGCATTTTTGTTCTTGCTAACGCAATTGCAATATATCATATGACACAATGAGAATGTAAGACAAAGTATGTAACTTACCCTGTGTATAGTTTCTTCGAAACTATTCGGTTGGCCGCCGTTCATTTGCAAGTATCTCAATCGATCGTAATCTCGAGGATCTACCATCGAACGAAGAATCGTGTGTCCCATATCGGGTCCAAGACCCAAGCCGCTTTGCAAAACACTGTCGGGTGTGTCTACCTGTAAACAGAACAGAGCACAAATGTGATTGCAAAAAATGACAAATTGCCAAAAATTAATTAATTATACCACTTTTTTGAAACATCAACACACACGTCGGAAATTACATATTCCATCTATATTTTAACTATAACGTCAGAAATGAGAATTTTTATGCACATTACAGTGACATAAATAATTTTTATATGAAATTGCATTTACACAAAATGCATTACGTTTTAGAAATTGTTATATTTGTCTTAAAATAATTAAAGTTATATCTCGGTATTTCTCTTCTTTTCTCTCAAATTTTTAGTATATTCCTCAGTGCTTTCTCTCTACGTTCCCTCCTCCGTAATATAATATTATGCAAATTACTTTGAAAAATTCAATTTATGCTGGCACAAATAATAAGATTCGTTGTAAGAGTAGTCGGGATGTCGATTACAAGCGATCGTTCGTAAAGATAATAATTTATTACGATCTTCATGAAAATCTGCTTTCGCGCGTATACATTTTTGTATAAAGGTGTAGCGTTCCCCTTTCATAGAGCATCTCCATTCTATAGAATGTCGAGGTCCTTAAAAGCGGCTGCCATTTATTCTCGCGACGTTCCCTCCGCTAATGGGGCTCGTGCATAAGATATTCAGAACGCGGCAAGGGTCGCCATGGAGATTGTCAATTTCTCGTTCTTCGGCTCTGCGGGGAAAGAGAGGAGCATGCATAATTCCGTCGATGTATTTCAGAAAAACGTAACGCGAGATTTTAATTGCGCGGTTGAGATAGGCGACGTTGCGAGCACTGCGTTAGTCGAATGATTAAGATAGAAGCCAAGAGTTTCGTTCCCGCGGTAACTTCAGACAAAGCCTCCGAAGTATTTACAAAGGACCGCCTCTTCTACGAGATTAGCCTGAGTAGGGAAATTCATCTCCCTTTCCTCACTATTTTAAGCGCGTCTTTGCCATCGTCTTTGCCATGTCGTCGTCGTCGTCGTCGTCGTCGTCGTCATCGCCGTCGTGTCGTCGTTTTCGTTGTTACTATAGTATCGTCTTATAGCGAATCGTTGAGAGATAGTTCACGACGAAAATTATCGTGTTGACATTCTATGAATGCGGTTTGCAGAAATTATTTCATTGTTCTCAAGTCATTGTTGTTAAAGAGCCACAGAGATAACCCCGAAGATTTATTTGCAATAAAAATTGTGTCAGTGCCAAAAATGTAGATTCTACATATATCAAACACAAATGCGCTTCAAGTGTTGGAAGAATTTACATTACATATTATCAATGTCGAGTTTTAATATTGCAATCTCATCTGTCGTTAAAAAAATAATTTTTATGCCACCTTTTAAGTTAAACTATTTATAAGCAAAATTATTTTCTAAAGAGAATTAAATTTTCTTATAATACGTTTTTATTTCTTCAGATCTAAAAAGTTGCGCAAGAAACTATTCCCGAAGTCATCAATTTTATGAAGGAGATAAGTCTCGTAAAAAAGATATTAATATGCTAATAAATGTGGGCGGACGCCTATATATATAAACTGGCGTGTATATCGTTCGAAATTAACGAAGTTATTATCGATTTTTATAGGGGGTACTTAATAAAGTCGCGGTTCGAGTATCGTGAATAATACGAGGATAATAAATGAACCGTTGAGAATGATATAGATTTACTTTGCTAGAGCCTTACTTGCCACAAAATTGAGCTGACAAAAAGTTCTACTAACAGTATTTTTTAACTCTGCCATTGTCCACAAAGTAGAGTAATTATTCGACGTAATCAAGATTCAAGATCAACTAATTTTATTATTTTTTTGTTGCTTAGATTTATTCTATATTATTCCAAATAAAAAAATATCGCACTGTAAACAAATATCGATCTATTTTGTGGTAAACTGTCTAAGGAAGAAAAAGCCGCGTTTCTGTAGACAACGCCAGGACGATTACCTTGCGGTGCGCGATTTAATTAAACCACGTGGTATTTATGTTAAACGGATTAGAACCGTTTGTTTGTGCTCGCAGACTGAGCTTCCTCGCGGCCGTAGCATCCACTAAGCCTGAATAATACCTAGAGACAAGGCTGAGAATTTACGTCGCTCCCTGTTTACCGGCGCGATGTTGACTTTTTCTTCTCGAGCGGACGACGAGGCGGAATAACCAAAGAAATCCCCAAACGCCAAGAGATGCATTTTAAACGCATCTTTTATCCGCGAATCTCTCGCGGTAGTCTATGTAATCTTCTGATACGACGACGTTATCGCGGATTATTGTCCCTCATGGTATGCTATGAAAACGCAGTACGTATCGCGCTGTCTCTTTATTACAGTTATTTTAAAATTCTATTGCAATTTGATATTCTATTATTATCATCCACTCCACGCAATCATTCTTCTACTATGAAATTTTATTTAATCTCATACCAATTTGGGCAAATTGTCGATTGAAGAAGTAGAATATTTTCTTTTATACTTTACATATAAATATTCTATTTGTTCGATCCAATAGAATCGTTCGCCATAGTCACGCACCACAAATACTCCATATAATAACGCGAAGATTTCCATTGCGCTTACATCTTTGCTTTCGCGACGGAGCGCGCGGCGGTCTACAGATACAAATAGCGGTCGCTCCGAGAAACAATTTTGCCCATTTATCTATCGCGGGATCGACACGGTAATGCATCGCGTCGGGAAATAAATGTTGCGATTGCGCGCACATCTTCGTACGCAACCGATTTCCATCAGTTAGCCGACCGACGCGATTCACCCGGCACGTCTCGCCCGAGATGACGCAGCCCGGCGCGGGGCATAAAAGATTAAGCGATCGCTCTCCTTCGCCGTTACGTAAATCACAATAAACCCGTCGCAGTCTACGCGTCCGGGATAAATGGCGAGGCACGATGTGCGTACGGTAGATATCCGCCGGCTCGAACGAAGGAGGAGGGTGTCCGAGGGGACGGCTCGTTCGCGCGTGATCGAACGCGAGCGGAGCGGAGAAAACCGACGCGAAAGGTGGCGCGCGGGGGTGCGGAAGGGCAGGAGCGGGGTATATATTTTTAAGGTTAAGCGGTTAACCGGCCACCTGGGGCGGGCTCTTCTTACAGGATCGGCTTATAGCCGTTCTCAGTCAGCCAGGCCGTTGCCGCCTACCGGTTAATTTATCCCAGCATTGTTATTGCTCCGGCGCGGCGAACCGGGCGAGCCGCCGCCGCGCCACCGGATCGAGATAGATACGCCGCTACGTAGCGTCGTGACAAACGCAATTAAGCATCTCACGACTTCCTGCACGGGGAAACCTATAATCTGGTCATCTAGCCGACTCCGTGGACTCCTCCCGGAACGCCCCGCGGCACACGGGTTGCCGGTAACAGGCCCGCTGGCTGTTGCACGGAATGCACCTTCGAGACCTTCGCTCTTGCGCAGCGACAGCGGCCGTCGGGATAGACCGGCGGGAACTCAACCGGATCGTCTCGCTATTCGACCCTTATCAGGACGAATTGATTTACGAACGCGGCCGGTCGACTAACGGCACCGCCGTTGCTAAACTGCCGCGATTTGTTTTCCGATAATAATGCCGCACTCCGGCAGAGATGCGACGATCGCGAGATGTTACGAAGGTAATACTTGAAAAATTTTAGTGCAAATAATTTAAGTGAATAAAGATGCAAAACGGCGTGCGATTAAATTTTCATTCTCAAGAAGATACGCTTTTAACTTTGATGGCTATAAAGACGAAGGAAATTCAGTTTTTAAACTTCAAATCACGAGGGATATGTATTCGCTGAAGGTCTGTTAATGAGTTATTATATAATGCGTCGGGCGTGTAGTTATATATCTTTGGATTTTGTAGACTTGGTAATACGCAATTTGCTCATCTATTTGCTTACGGAATTCTCTTCGATCGCCCGAGGACGTAGAATATGCGAATAAAGTTGCCACTGGATTGAAGCACGGAATTGCGTGTAGAACATCGTTTACGGAGTTACGCATAATGTGAGCTCAATTAAAACAACTATTAACAACTGAAATAATTGTAAAAGTATATTAATATGCGATATCATTTAACTTTTGAAGTAATTTAATAAATGAAAATTGTTTCACGAATGAAAGTAAACTTATCCGAGAGGCGGGGAGGATTCCAACGCGAGCCGATTCGAGCAAAAACTTTTTATCTCACACATCTCGATATCCATGATAGTTCTTTACTTACTTCCCGTTGCCTCGATCCTAATGGCGATAGCCGCCACGGTAAACAGACATGCATCGCGAAAGAGATCGGATCCTGTTTGGAATTCCGCTGAAGCGGTACCTGCAATAGCCCCAACTCTGTACCGGGCGATACGATGTGGTGGCGGATCCAGTCTGGATTCCGGTCACGGGCGTAATCACGGCACTTAGGTAAAAGCGAATGGCAGCGCAATGCGGGACGAAGTCGTGGCGGCCGCGGAGAGCGGTAACGGTCTACCTCGCGCGGTATCAACGCGCACATATATAAACTAGAAGGTGAGGAGCCCGTTCGGATACGTTGCGGTGGCCGCCGGTGGTTGCTGTTTATCGACGAGACGAAGTGACTTCGGACGCGTCGAAACCGCGGCGCGCAACACCGTAGACGGTAACTATTATCAGAGTAATTGAAACGTAAAACGTGCCCTCGCGGAACCGCTAGTTCCTCTCGCGAGCGACCGCAAATGCATCCACACACACACACATACACACACACAGCGGCGAAATACACCCGCCGCGTGAAATATATCGATTTCTGATCGAATGTCTAGACCGAGTACACATTGTCATACCGGTGTGATGAATTGTGAACTTGGGAATAAATATTGGATCACTATAGAAGTGCTCTCTGACCTCGTAGTCGAGAAGCCATGACAATTGAACGACGATAGTGCATTCCAGTCACGGAAATGATGGCACCCGTTAAACGAAATGAGATTGCCCCAACCTTTTTGCCTGTTGCGAAAATTGACACTAGCAACCGGAGACGCTGTTGGCGTACAAATGTTACTGAGAAA